ACACACACACAAAGAAGAAAGATAAAAAGAGAGAGAAGAAGAAGAAGCTGAAGTACCCGTGCAAAGTGCCCGGAAATTTTCTGCTGTCCTGGGTACCACATCTGCAAAAAGCTGTACATTTCAAAAGAGAAAATATTTTATCTGCGTCCTCAAAATAAAATGCAAACTTAAAGTATCATACTACAAAACAACAGAATAACAAAAGCTCAAATAAACTGGAGAAGCCACTTAAAAGTATCATACTACAAAACAACAGAATAACAAAAGCTCAAATAAACTAGAGAAGCCACTTGTTCGTATTTCACCTCGATGACGATTCTTTCTGCGGGATCCCCATTGATCGAAACATCTAGGAATACACACAGGTTTTTCTTCTTGCTCATAGCTACTCCTAAAAAAACGTCAGTAAAAAGAATATAAGCACATCATCCTGTCCAGAGCAAACTGAGAAACTACAAGGCGTAACAGTAATTCTGCAAATTGTTTGCTTTTAAAGAAAAAATAACATAAGAAGTAGAGCTGAATTAAATGCTTGAGTGCACCATCTATCATGAAATACCAAAACATATTAAAAAAAGGCAACTTTTATGGTAGAATCCCTAAAAAAAACCCACCAGTGGAACCCCATTTTAACCGTTGGATTAATTTGTCAATGGTCAAATCTGTGTAAGTCCGTATTAAAAATTTACAGCGTAGCACATAAAACTGCTCCGGCTGCAAATCTGACTGTTGAAAAATTAATCCAAGGTTAAAAGTAGGGTTCACCGGTCGAGGTTTTTTTTGGAGACTCAAATGCCTTAAAAATAAACCTAAAAACACATGTTAGATCAAAATGATTGACAAAAGGTAGTTTTCAGTTACTGATTACACAGAAAAGCCCCTACTCTGCTAACCAAACTCAAATTTGCAATCGGAGCTACCTCCAAAAGCTACAAAATCAAAACTTTTTTCCTCGACAACAACAACTTCACAATTTTTCTTTTTCTTTTCTTTTCTTCTTGATCCAAGACGTACTTCCACAAAAAAAAAAAAAAAAAAAAAAAAAAAAAAACATAATTTAACTCTAAACTCTAACTGCCCAAGTTAGGATCAACATTGATAACTTAAAACTCTACTCCAATCACATCTTTAGTATCTCACAGAGTGATTGAGCACTTTTTACGGGATTTACCCAATTTCACAAAACCCTAAACCCTAGTGACTCGGTCGATACCCGAACCCACAGAATCATAAGCCCTAACGTCTCGCTCGACCAGAAAATCGGGTCGCTAAAATTTGTCCCTACTGAAAACATCAATTTCATGAAAAAAAGAACATAGAAAGTAGGAAATTAGAGAGAGAAACTGAGATCGAAAATCGTGGAAATGGAAAGCGAAAAGAAGTGGACGAAAAGGAACGAAATTTGGGATTAAATGGAGAGTAGAGGAGCACCTTGGTTGGTTGAGCGTGACACGGACTGAGTGAGCTCAGATCAGAACTCAGAGACGGAAATAGTGGCAGCGAAAAGCAGGAGTGGCAACCGTGAATAAGAACTTGAGACTTAAGAGGGCTGGCTCTCGCTAATTTTTTTCTTTTCACACAAGTTATTTTTGGAAAAAAATGGAGGATTTATGTCGAGAATAAATCTAGACCTTTATTCTCTATAAATATCTTTTTAATAATATAATTATTTGATTAAAAAAGTGATTAATTAAGAGTAAAGGATTATTTTTTTAGGGGAAAAAAGAAATAAGTTTCATTTTTATTTTATTAAAATTTGGTTCTGCTTTATTTCAAAAAAAAAAAAAAAAAAAACAGAGAGATGTTCTGCTTTATGATCACGTCGTTTTTCTATAATTGTCTTTTTTTGGTTCCATCCGTTTGGATGTCGTTTGTGACATGACCGTGGAATCACGTTTTTTTTTTTTTTTCAATGATTAATTACGGTAATAATTTTGCAAATAATAAGTTTCATTTTAGTTTTTATGTTACAAATTTGTTGTGCTTTATCAAAAAAAAAAAAAAAATGTTCTGCTTTATGCTCACACCGTTTTTTTTGTTAATGTCGTTTTTCCTTGTTATCGTTTTTGTTTGGATGTCATTTGTGACGTGAATTAATATGAATCTAAACGTTTATTTGAGCCTGTTCGTTTCATTAAAGTTTTTAATGTACTGTTTTCTCTACAAAAATTTAAATTTAATTTTTTATGTTACAGTATTTTTTCTCATATAAATTCACTTTTCAATCTTAAATTCTCAATTTGAATTAACAAAAGGAACGAAGGTTAATGTTTTTTATCATTTGTTTTTGTTTCATAGTAGTTCGCGCATTGGAGTCTTTTTTCATCCTATTTATTAATTGTTTCCTTTGTATGTCATGTCTCGTCTATCTTCTTGTCGTTTTCTGTAATACTTATGTATTTGTTTTTTAATTTGTTTTTAAGTAGTTGGTGTCTTTTTAATATTTAGCGCATGTTGTTTTTTTGTTGTCGTTTCATGTAGCACATCGTTTGAGTCGTTCCTGTCTTTTTTTTTTTTTTGTTTATTGTCATTTCTACGCAGTTGTCGTGTTGTAACATATGTTCATGTCATTTTTCAGATGATTGTCGTTTTTACTTGGATGTCGTTTGCGTACTCCTTACTGTTCTGTTCTTTTTACGAACTCTTTCCTCTGCCCCCTGCCCCCGTCTCTTTGCCGTGGCCCACAGTGACCATCGTATTGTTACTTCTCCTTCTTCTTCCTCAAGTGGGCTCGTCCAGTGGAAAAACAAATTTATCAAGGACTTTACTCCAAAACTGCAAAGATGTATCCTCGAAGTTTTTGTATTAGAATCTCACATTAATTAGAAATATTAACATAATTCACTTAATAAGGTGAGGATAATTTTTTCTTTATAAGTCGATTTTGTTAAATTAAGTTAGGTTTAATATCCTTTAATTTCTGTAAAATTTTGTATTGATTCAAAGAAAGAGAAAAAAAAGACACCGGAAAGACACGGTAATTTGTCGGTTGGAAAATGGAAATGGGAAAGTCTTTATCGCAGTTGTAACAATATTTAAAAAAGGAATCGAGTCAAATAAAAGACACTGGAGAGGCTATATAGTATTTATGACGTACTTCAGCTTCTTCTCAATCAAATATGGTCGTAATGATGTAGTAGTATCGTACCATTGAGGTCTGGTCTTGTTTATGGTAGTCTTGTCCTTTTTTTTTTTTTAGCTGCAAACAAATTTGAAAAACGTTTATAAGAATAACAATATTTATTTCAAATTTTCGACAAATTTATTGTTGGGATTACGTGGCTGCTAATGACGTGACAACTTAGATTTGGTCTAAGTTGGTTTACAGAGAGGTTTTAGTGTACAGGAGATCAAGATTAGAGATAAGGCGGTTTAGGAATACTGACAAAATGATAAACTAGTTAATATTCTGGGGTCTGAGTGACAATCTTCTTGTAGAGAGGCTTTGTATATAGAAATCAGAGAGAGTAAATACTTGAAAAATTGTTTTCTGTGAATAAAATTCCAGTTGAGGTTTTTTTCAGAATTCATTTTTCTTCATTCTTTATGTACAGATTGTTTGTTCTTTTCTTCTCATTTTGGTATTCTGAGATTCAGTTTTTGGTTCGAACACTCACAATTTGGTATCAGAGCTTGTGGTGGAGATTCGGAATGGGACTATCAAAGTTTGAGATCGAGAAGTTCACAGGCAAAAACGATTTTGCCCTGTAAAGATTGAAGATTAGGGCATTATTGGTTCAACAAGGTCTGGAGGAAGCTCTCAGTGAGGAAAAGAATCTGCCGACGACGTTATCAGAGAAGGAGAAGAAGGGGCTCCTCGACAAAGCCCATAGCGTCTTGATCCTTAGTCTCGGTGACAAAGTTCTCCGAGAAGTCTCAAAAGAAAAAACGGCAGCAGCGGTGTGGCTCAAGTTGGAAAACCTGTACATGACCAAATCTTTGGCCAATAGGTTGTTCCTTAAGCAGAGGCTGTATACGTTCAAGATGGCTCCTGGGAAGTCCTTGGAAGATCACCTGGATGACTTTAACAAGATAATCTTGGATCTTGAGAATATCGAGATCAAGATTGAAGATGAAGATCAAGCCTTGCTCCTACTAAGATCGCTACCAAGTGAGTTTGAAAATCTCTCAGATACTCTGATCTTTGGACATGATTCACTTTCTTTAGAGGATGTTTAATCAGCTTTATTTTCAAAAGAATTGAGAAAGAAAATCGAGGGAAAGGAGGAAAGTGCAGTTGAGTGTCTAAATATTCGAGGAAGGCCAGAAAAATGTGATTTCAAGAACAAAAATAGGCCAAGATCGAAGTCCAAGCATAGAAGGAAGTGTTTTGTATGTCACAAAGAAGGCCATCTCAAAAAGGATTGCCCAGATCGAAATAAGCAGATAAATGAAAAACATAAGGATTATAGAGATGCAGATGTAGCCTCGGATGGCTATGAGAGTTCTGAGTTGTTGTGTGTTTCAGATGGAAACACAAACCTGGAATGGGTTATGGACTCGGGTTGCTCATTCCACATGTGTCCTCATAAGTCTTGGTTCCAGAATTACAGGGAAAGCAATAGTGGATAGGTATTGCTCGGGAACAACAAAGCCTGTAGAGTTCTGGGTATTGGAGACATACGACTGAGGCTGGCAGATGGGGTTGAAAGAGTCTTAACCGGTGTGAGATATGTTCCAGAATTAAAGAGGAACTTGATCTCTCTGGGCATGATGGATTCACAAGGTTTTCGCATCAAGGTTGAAGGAGGAATCTTGAAGGTCATTAAGGGATCCATGATGGTCATGAAGGGACTCCTTGATAATGGTCTATATCTGCTTCAAGGAGAAACGGCAATAGGAGTGGCTGCACCAGCTGAGGGGGCTGAGTATTCAAAAACTCAGCTCTGGCATCAGAGGCTGACCCATATCAGTGAAAAAGGCTTGAAGGAGCTAGAGAAATAGGGGCTTCTAGGAGGAAACAAGCTTCAAGACTTGCCCTTTTGTGAGCACTGTATATATGGGAAGACAAGCAGGGTCAAGTTCTCAAGAGGAGTGCATCACACAAAGACAATTATGGATTATGTTCATTCAGACCTTTGGGGGGCATCAAGAGAACCATCACACTCCGGAGCTAGGTATTTTATGTCCATAATCGATGATTATTCCATAAAACTGTGGGTTTATATCTTAAAGAATAAAAATAATGCTCTAGAAAAGTTTAAGGAATGGAAAACTTTGGTAGAGAATCAAACTAGCAGGAAGCTTAAAACATTGAGAACATATAATGGCTTGGAGTACTGTGGGAATGAGTTCACTCAGTTCTGTAAAGATCAAGGAGTGGCAAGGCATCACACTGTCAGAAAAACCCCTCAACAGAACGGTCTTGCAAAGAAGATGAACAAGACAATTCTAGAGAGGGTTAGGTGCCTACTCTTAAATGTCAACCTTTCAAAGGTTTTCTGGGCAGAGGCTGTTATGATTGCAGCCTACTTGATTAACAGAAGTCCCTCAGTAGCCATTGACCTGAAAACGCCATAAGAAAAGTGGTCAGGCCATCCCCTAAATTTAGAGAATTTAAGGGTATTCGGATGTACAATATTTGCTCACGTGAATCAGGGGAAGCTGGAGCCTAGAGCACTAAGGTGTATGTTTTTGGGATATCTTGTAGGTGTGAAAGGCTACAGGCTGTGGAGTGTACAAAAGGGGCATCCAAAGGTGTTTAACAGCAGGGATGTCATCTTTAGAGAAACAAAAATGTATTACTCTAAGTCAAACAAGATTGATACCGAACTAGGAAAGGATGATCTCAGGCAGGAATCAAAGAAATTGCATCTTGAGGTGGAGACTTCACAGCAATCAGGCAGCCAGGTTAACTTGAGTGAAGATCAGGCAGATGATGATGATGGGACAACATCAAAATTCACATATCAAGATGCAGATGAAGACTTGACAAGGTCAAGGAGCTCAAATCAGCTGCAAAACTATTCACTGGATAGGGACAGACAGAGAAGACAAGTAAAACCACCAGAGCGGGTCGGATATATAGAGTTAATACCCTTTGCTCTGACAACAACATTCGATGTTGAAGATCTTGAGCCTAGATCCTTTCAAGAGGCAATAAAAGGCAAACATTGCAATCAATGGATGGTAGCAATGGAAGAATAATTGAAGTCTCTACACAAGAATCAACCATGGAAGCTGGTTCAAAGGCCTCCAAAACAGAAGCTAGTGGGAAGTAAATGGGTTTTCAAGTTCAATGAAGGCATTCCTGGTGTGGAGAACCCTCGGTTCAAGGCAAGACTGGTAGCCAAAGGCTTCTCCCAAAGAGAAGGAATAGACTACAACGAGGTATTTTCACATGTCGTGAAATACAGTTCCATAAGAATTCTCCTGTCACTGGTTGCAAAAGGAGATTTAGAGCTGGAACAGCTTGATGTAAAGACAGCCTTCCTACATGGTGAACTTGAAGAAAGCATTTACATGGCGCAGCCGGAAGGATTCTTGGAAAAAGGTAAAGAGAATTTGGTTTGCCTCTTGAAGAAGTCCTTGTATGGATTGAAACAGTCCCCAAGGTAATGGTATAAGCGTTTTGATTCTTTTATGATTCAAAACAGTTTCAATAGGTGTGAATTTGATAGTTATGTGTACAATAAGCCTGGATTAGGTGGAGATATGATATATCTTCTCCTATATGTCGATGATATGCTTTTAGCATGTAAAAATAAGGCCGAACTTGATAAAGTGAAGCATCAACTGAAGAGAGAATTTGAAATGAAAGACATGGGCCCTGCCAAAAGAATTCTCGTCATGGACATTGTCAGAGACAGGCACAAAAGAGTTCTATTTGTTTCTCAGAAAGGATATGTAGAGAAAGTGTTTAAAAGGTTCAAAATGTATTATTGCAAATCAGTTTTGACACCTATGGGCCAACATTTCAAGCTGTCACAGGAGGACTCTCCATCAGGTGAAGATGAAGTTGCTTATATGGAAAGAATACCTTATGCAAGTGCAGTAGGGAGCTTGATGTATGCGATGGTCTGTACGAGACCGGACCTAGCATATGCAGTAAGTGTGGTTAGCAGGTATATGGCTAATCCAGGGAAGGCTCATTGGGAGGCTGTGGAGTGGATATTCAGGTATCTTAGAGGATCGGCAGGGGTTGGGTTACTGTACAGAAAACATAGTAGTGACTTGGAAGCTGTTATTGGCTTTGTGGACTCAGACTATGCAGGTTGTGTTGATAATAGAAGGTCTCTTACAAGATATGTGTTTAAAGTTTGTGGTAATGTTGTTAGTTGGAAGGCTAACTTGCAGCAGGTTGTTTCACTTTCAACAACTGAAGCCGAATTTATGGCTTTGACAGAAGCTATAAAGGAGGCCAAATGGTTAAAGAAAATTGCAACAAGGTTAGGAGTCAAACAGGTTGCTGCCAAAGTGTATTGTGATAGCCAAAGTGCAATACATTTGGCTAAAAATCAGGTGTACCATGAAAGAAGCAAGCACATAGACGTGAGGCTCTATTTCATCAGAGAAATCATAGCCAAGAAGGAGATTATTCTGGAGAAAGTTTCTACAGATGAAAATCCAGCTGACATGATAACTAAGAGCCTGTTTGGTTCATGGATTAGAACCATGAGATTAGAACTATTTTCGATTTACGTATATTTTTTTGTGAGAAAAAATACTATAGCGAACTATGGACCATGATTCGAATAAGAGACCGAATCCTCCAACCAAACGGGCTCTAAAGCATTACTGTCACCGAAGTCCAAACATTGTTTGAATTTGCTAGAAATGAATATTGTCAGTGTCAATGTGGTCTGAAGGTGTCCAAAGGTGTTGGAAATTGTAGCCAGGTGGAGAATTGTTGGGATTATGTGGCTGCTAATTCAACTGGTGACGTGGCAACTTGGACTTGGTCTAAGTTGGTCTACAGAGAGGTTTGAGTGTACAGGTCTACATGAGATCAAGATTATAGATAAGGCAGTTTAGGAATATTGACAAAAGGATAAACTAGTTAATATTCTGGGGTCATTATCCGAATGACAATATTCTTGTAGAGAGGCTTTGTATATAGAAACCAGAGAGAGAAAGAGATTTCTTGAAAGTGTAAATACTTGAGAAATTGTTCTTTGTAAATAAAATTCCAATTGAGGTTTTTTTCAGAATTCATTTTTCTTCATTCTTTATGTACAGATTGTTTATTCTTTTCTTCTCGTTTTAGTATTCTGAGATTTAATTTCTGGTTCAAACACTCATATTTATGATGTTATTATCTTTTTATAAAGAGTAATACTATAACCTATAAGACACCAGTAATACTTAACATCATCTATTAATAAAAATTAAATCTCGTAGTATAAAACACATAAATAAAATCAATAGTGCTTAGCATCGTTAGCGTCTTTAAACAATTTTCTTTTTAAATGTTGTGGAAAATACGCCGAGCATACGTACAAGACTCCATCCACCGATTAAAAGCAGAGAAAAAAACATTGTCCAAAATTAAAAGCAGAGAAAACCAAAAAGTCAAGCCCGATTGACTTTTTTAACAAGACGAGAAAAAACCAAAAAGGGTCATTGAAACTTTCCACCATTCAACCATTGATTCAACCATCCCTCATTTTCTAGAAAATGTCGTGCCTTTGAACGGGAAATTAATTCTTGGACGCTAAGCGTGTTTGACTAGTCTCAAATGGCGCGATTTAACAACAATAAAATCTCTTGCAATTCGACAGTGTAACTCAAATCCACTTCAAGTCTTCAAATTCTCTCTTGATCAAAACTCTTTTCTGTTTCTGTTTGTTTCCTGAGAAAAAAAAAAAGCTTCTCACTAAAATCTTTCTAGTTTGGTTCAAAGCATGGCAGAGACATTGACGGAAAACCAAATTGCAGAGTTCCGAGAAGCGTTTTGTCTGATCGACAGGGACTCAGACGGTGAGTTTTTCTATACATATCACTTTCTTTTTCTTCCTTTTTGTTTTTATGTAATTAATGTCTACGTACTCTTTGCAGGCTTTATTACAATGGAAGAGCTAATATCGATTATACAATCACTAGATGAACGTCCCAAGAGAGAAGAAATTCAAGAAATGATAAATGATGTTGATTGTGATTGTGATGGGAATGGGACGATAGACTTTGACGAGTTTTTGAATATTATGGCTAGAAAGATGAAGGTAAATTTGTGTTTGTTGAGTACTTATGGAAAAATGGTATTATTTAGTTTAAACTTGTTTTAGGTAATTGAATACTATAGCTAAATTTGATATTATTCGTTTTGTTTTCCTTAAAAAGAAAAGTTGTGATTTCGAGCTTGTATACCATGGTCTTACAGGAAAATGTTGCAGAGGAGCTTAAAGAAGCCTTCAAAGTATTTGATAGGAATCAAGATGGATATATTTCTGCCAATGAGGTGAAAACACGCTCACTGCATAATCAATTAACCATCAAATCTTTTTCATTATTTTTTGTTTTCCATTTTCTCTTATATATTTTTTAATGTTTGATTTCCACTATTCTAATATCTTAGAAGTTGACGAAGTCTATTTTCACTACTATTAAAGTCCGTTTAGTTCATAAATTAGAATCATAAAATTATAATTATTTTTGATTTACGTGTGTTTTTTATAAGAAAAAATACTGTAACGAACCATGAACCATGATTCGAATTAGAGAACGAATCCTCTAACAAAACGGATGTTTTGTTTGGATTTCTTTGGTTCTTGTTGTTGGGGTTATTAAAAAAAAAAAATCCTGTAAAAGGTTAACTATAATAATAGCATATGGATGAATAGGTTACGACCACACTTTAATTAGTAGTAACTAATTATAAGTCGATAATTCATTTTACACTTTTGCAATCATGGCCAAGCTATATTGATTGGTTAAATTTATCTTCTTGTGCAAGTGCTTCTTAATTTTATGATAAATAAATCTAAGTTTCTGTTTGCAGGTAATTAAGGTCTTGTTTGCTTCGTGAATTCAAGTTAAGATGTGATATTTTTTAAGAGTTTTTTATTATAATAAAAAAAGTTAAATGTGACATTTTTAAAGAATTTTTTATTATAAAAATTTAAAATTTAAAATTTAAATTGATGAAATAAACTAGACTTAAATAAGCTATACAATTACTTCCAATGATGAAGTGATATATTTTTTTTTAATTTATTGTGTAGTTGAGACAAGTAATGATTAACTTGGGAGAAAGATTGACGCATGAAGAGGCTGAACAGATGATTAAAGAAGCTGATTTGGATGGTGATGGTCAAGTCAGCTATGAGGAATTTGCAAGAATGATGATGTTGAGCTGATCCTTTTTATAAATGATCTCATACCTTTTTTTTTTTTGGCTAATATATAATAACTAGCTTTGCATTTTTTTTATTGGAAAAATCTGTTTTTGCTCGTTAGGGATTTATCCCAAGTTCCCACCATGTTAACACACCAGGCATAAGGAATAAGTCTCAGCAACAGAGTTTAGATCTCGTTTATTTTGTAGATTTGAGTTTTTAATTTGAGTTAAAATGTAATATTTTTTTAGAGTTTTTTATTGTAACAGAAAAAATTAAATGTGATATTTTTTAATAATTTTTTACTGTAAAAACTTAAAATTAAAAACTCAAATCGGTGAAATGAACGAGACCGTTCTTTATGTCTCAACAATAGAGTCCACTTTTTTAGTCTCATGGGGATATGTTTTCGTCGGAACTTTTAGGATTACTTTTTTTTTTTTATAATTTTTTTACGTATCTATATGATTATATATACGTCGTGTAAACATAAATCTTTTGTGTATCTATGTGATTGTGCAGACTTCGTGTCAACATAAATATATGTAATACACCTAATTGATTTAGATTCTCACAAGTTTTCCGTCATTACATTTCTTAAATACATGCCATTATTAAAAAATAATACTAGAGACATCAATTTAAAAATTAACTTTTGAGTACCAATTTACATGATATATAATATGTCATTCCACTTAATATGCAAACTCATCACTTTTAATTTAACACTTATTTAGCTAATATACCCCTAACATATATGACTTTCATAATCTAAAATTAATGGCCCTGTTTGTTTCCGTTTTCATTTTCATTTTTTACATTTTTCGAGACTAAAATATGAAAACGGAAACATAAAATGCGTTTAGTGTAAAAATGTTTAAAAAACAAAAACAAAAACGTTTTTGTCTTTTCTGAAAAACTGAAAACGAAAAAAAGACGTTTTCATTTTCACATTTTCGTTTTCTGAAAACGGATTTCAAATTTTTTTTTTCTTCTCTCTCTTCTCCAGCCGAAGAAGACGCAGGCCTGGACATCTGGCGAAAGCCCACCGCCTACGCTCCTCTCCGACTGGCCCGCCACCATCTTCTCCAACTGCCCGCCACCGTCTTCTCCGACTGCATGTAAAAATTCATGTTCATTTAATATATTTATTTAATATATTATTATTTAATATATTTAATAATAATATTTATGTAATATATTATTATTTAATATTATTATTTATTCAATATATTATTAATTTAAATAGTATTACATGTTTTTTAAAATTAAACCACCAAACGCAATTTCAGTTTTTTTTAAAACTGAAATCAATCTCTGAATAAAACTACCAAACGCATTTAAGAAATAATTCCAAAATGAAAATAAAAACGTTTTCATTTCTATTTTCATATAAAAAATAAAATCATTTTAAAATTAATTCCAAACACGACGTTTTCGATTCTATCTAATCTGCTAATCTAGAATATCACAAAGCATTAACCTTTTGTGCGATTATTCCAACGACAACACAAAGTTACAAATAATTTGTTTCAAGAACCCAGGTATTCTTTGTTTCTGGATTCTAGAGAGTGATAGGATAAGGGGCAGAGAAACATAATTTATGGCAGTTTAATTTGTGAATTTAAATTTTTAATTTGAATTAAAATGTAATTTTGTACAAAAATTTTTTAGTGTAGTAAAAAAATTAAATTTATTTTTAAGAGTTTTTTATCGTAATAAAACTTAAATTTTAAATTTAAATTGGTAAAATAAATGGGTATTCCACGACACTTAAATCCAAATAGATTCAAAAAATCAAAATCCAAAAACAAGATATAACAAAAACAAATAAAAATTTGAGCAAGATGGATTTTTTTTCCCTTATAGAAGATGAAGGTCTCGTTCATTTTACCAATTTAAATTTTCAGTTTTAAGTTTTTACAGTAAAAAATTCTCAAAAAATGTCACATCTAACTTTTTATGTTATAGTAAAAAGCTCTCAAAAAATATTGCATCTCAACTTAAATTAAAAATTTGAATCTACAAAGTGAACGAGACATGTGTTACAGATTTCCATTAATGGTGGAACAGTAAAAAACCAAACCCCAAAAACAAGACAAAAAACGAAAAATTAATGCTGGAATTTACAAAAGAGCAACTAATTTTCATCGTTGTGTGCGGGTTGGAGGAGCAAGATTTGCTCCATTTTTTTCCTCATAGAAGGAAGTGGTACTGATTTTGTATTAATGGTGGAACAATCAAAACCCAAACCCAAAAACAAAATAAAACGAAAAAATTCAGAATTTATAGAATAACAAAGTTTTCATCGTTGTCGTGTGATTTTGGAGGTGCAAAATTTGTTGGATTTTTTTTTTTTTGAAGTTTGCAGGTTTTTCATTAATGGTGGAACATGTTAGAAATCAAAGATTTGGTGAAAATCATTACCCAAAAACTAAGAACATTCATGTTAGATCATCAAGAATTAATAAATCTGTAAGCGGAAGCGTACTTGAATCCATATTGCTTGATTTCTCTCTAGAGTCGTGTAGTTTGTCTTCCAGATCAACACGTTTTCCTAGAGAACCCTTTAACTTTCTCTCTGTACTCTTTCTGATGATGGGATGTCAGAAGTAATGAAATGATACGTGTGATCTGGGGACTATAACTGCCATTTATAGATAACTTGTTTTCTTTTAGTATTTCTATTTTAGCCCATCATAAAAATAGAAATTACCTTTAAGTCTCTACACATTAAAGGTTCACACCCTATTAGATACATTAAAACCCAAAATACCCAAACCTTAGTAGATCACTTTTAATTGGGTTTAACCTTATATGATAGCCCGCAACACATAATTATTCACATATAAACCTAACGTTGGATTAAGGATCCAACAATCTCCCACTTTGGCTATATGTGTAACCTTATAATTATGCTTTGTAAAATAACCGTATGAGCTCAACTTTGCTGTCATTACTGAAATGTATCTGTAACTAATCCGGTCCATCAATCATACCAACATAGGATCAAAGCGGCCTTAGTTACAATTATCGTAACTCGACCTATCAATGGTCACGTATGGCAATACAACTGAATGACATGGATCAAGATGTGAATGTGTAGCATTGAAATTTCATGTAATGTGATCTTAACATGCTTATTCCCAACTGGTCCACCTTAAACCTTAGTGAGATCAAACCATACCAAAATCAGAGTGTGAATAAACTAAAAACTTTATTTATGCAGAAAATAACCTCAAAAGATCCATAAACTGAAATAACTGAAAATATGTCTATATCATAGAAGCATCTAAAATTACAAACTCCCACTAAAATTGAATATCCTCTAATGACATGACACCCATATGAGCAGTGTGCTCATGAAACACTTTGGGTGGCAATCCCTTAGTAAGCGGATCCGCAACCATGAAGTTTATACCGATGTGCTCTATAGACAATTATCCACTATGAACTCTTTCCTTGACAACTAGGAACTTGATGTCTATATGCTTTGACTTCGTTGAGCTACTGTTGTTGTTGGAATACATCACTGCTGACTTATTATTACAAAATAACTTGAGTGGCCTTTCAATGCCATCCACTATGCGCAGCCCCGTGACAAAATTTTACAGTCATATTCCATGATTGGACGCCTCATAACATGTTATGAACTCTGCTGCCATGGTAGAAGAGGCTATAAGAGACTGTTTAGCACTCTTCCAGGAGACAACACCTCCATCTAGCAGGTAGATATAGCCTGACGTAGATTTCATACTATTTAGGCATCCAACAAAATCATAGTCAGTATACCCAACGATCTCAAGTTGATCCGACCTCCGATACGTGAGCATGTAGTCTTTTGTTCTTTGCAAGTACCGTAAGACCCGTTTGGCTACTTTCCAATGGCCTACTCCTGGATTACTTAAATACCTGCCTAACATCCCAGTAACGTACGCAATATCCAGACACGTACTGATAACTCTATGAAAATAGAGTTAATTGAGCATTTCCCAGGCTTAAATTATTACCTAGAGGGTAATTAGTTTTTATTTTATCCTTTATTTTGTCTTGTTTCTAGTTTTTAGTTAGTTATGTTTCATGAATTCTCTCTCTTGTGTTTGGCGCTTAAAAAGAGCTAATCCGGGTGCATGTTGTGATTATTTTTAGCTTTAAGAAAGCATTGTCGTCTTGGAGGCTAGCAACAACTTGTCGTTTTGGAATTTTCAAGGAAATTCTAGTCAGCATTGCTCTGCCAAGCCAGCTAGACCAGATTCACATGTTGCTGACAGCTGGCCTGAGTTGGTAGAATGGGCTGATTTAACCGTGAAGGGTGCTGATTTAGCTGCTGATTGGAGGCTTCCTCAGGGGCTGCCACGTGTAATTAGGGTACAATAAGTACCTGCAGCTGCAAGAGAAGAAGGTGTCCTTGGTCATATTTTGTAACGCAGAGGCGGCTGAACTTGGAAAAGGAAACCACCTCCATTTTTCTGATCAAGTACCATTTCCAGTACTGAGGAAGAAGAAGAAGAAAACGTCACAGAGATTTAAACGTGAAGGACCATCTGTTGATGCAAGAGCAGCTAGAGGAAACCTTGGAAAAAGGGGATTCGGATTCTCTCATCATCATTTTAGTCTTTCTTATTCTCATTACTTTGTTTTTCTTGTTAAAGAATATTTACTCTTCTTCTTGAATCTGAACTTGAATTCATAAATATATTTCTATGAGATTATGATTTGTTGGCTGAGGTTGTTGATTTGTTAAATATTAAGTTGCTAGTTGATGTTGAATGGATTTGATGATTATTTCTCTGTTTATTCAAGTGAGCTGAATTTGTGCCTTAACT